AGGCGACCAAGAGAGCCCTACACTGCCCGAGGTGACCCCCAGGCGACCCAGAGAGCCCTATACTGCCCGAGGTGACCCCCAAATGACTCTGACCTGGATAAAAGCTTGGAAGATGGACAGAAAGGTACCATTATCCTATACCTGTCAGGCAAGTTCTTGATCTAAAAAAATATATTCAAGTACATTCAGTCAATGTCAGACACTGCTTGTTTAGTTTCTGTGGTCCAGGCCTGTCCTCAGATGAGGTGACTGTGTTCTGAAGTGTGGTTCTCAAAATAAGCATACAGTAGACCTACTATTTTGATTTATGTATATAGCATACAATTATATATACAATATATTGTAAAGAAAAATTGTGCATGCAATTACTCATATTCACAATTATAATATATAATTATAATGGCTCCATTGTCATGAGTCAGTAAAGCATTAACGATACAATTCACATTAATGACACTGGTCATGAGGGGGCGCTAAACATCAGTACAATATATCATCAGTATAAAATCAATAGTTCATAGTCCACTGGATCGATGGTTTAGTGCTTTGAAACCTGAAGGGTTTCAGATTAAATCAGCTAAAAATGGCAAAAGTTGAGGGGAATTTTTTTTCCAATAATCTAGACAAAAAAATTGTAGCAGGCCAAAAATTACTGGGTGGAATGAATCACGGAACCAGTTCCGTGAGCTAGCGCAGATCTTCCCAAAGCCCGATTAACAGTTTCAGCACCTGAAGCTAATTTCCCATGTAAATTCGTGTTTGTCAGGGTTCACAGGTATGTGCTCCGAAGTTCCCGTGTATTCTGACCGTTTGTATGTTTTTGCCGACTTTGCTTTTTCTTTAACAAAATGCAGAAAAAGACCTATTGCGCTCAATCTTACATTCAAAAGAATGACTTATTATAGGTAAGAACATGTAAGAAGGCTTAAGGAAATTATGCAAATGTACAAAATGGACTTAATTTTAGTTGTACGCAGGGGCGTTGCTAGAAATTCTGGGCTCTCTGATAAAACATCACCCTGGGCTTCCACTAGGATAGCAACTTTCAAGTTGAAGAAATATGTTTTTTTATATGAAATTTTTTGAGTTGGAACTAGGTAGGACTATGATGCATATTTTTCAATTTCCTGCGCTCCCTGTGTCCTGGGTATGACGTTAAACTGCATCCAGCCCTGCAGACGGTCCTCCGATTTGCAGGGGAAAATTTTGGGCTCGTGACAGATGCTGGAAGCTCCTGCAAAACTGCAGGGTCTACAGAAGTGCCCAGTTTGTGAATTCTGACCAGACTTGTTGTTGCTACACTGAAGACTTGGCTTAGATCCAATAGTCTATCACCTACTAATAGAATGAGGGTGGACTTGGCCAGGTTCCAAGATCAGGCTGTTTCTGATGAGTTTGCACACAGTTTATGTGAGGAACTTGCAGACTTGGGTGCGACTGCTGACTGAAGGTGATGTTGGAGACCTTCCGTGATAAGAGCCTGAAGGTTGTCAAGGGCTGTGTTGGTGTTGCCAGGGTTCCCAGAATGAGGTGCTTCATCTCACAGGGCACCCTGGATATTATCGAGAGGAGTCACAGTGCACGACTTGATGGCAATTCTAGTCTGTACTGGGAACTGAGAAGGACGGCTGTGAGGGCAGGTAGTTTGTTAAACAAATCTGTGAGCAGGTGACACACTATCTGTTGTCTAGTGACCCACATCCTGCTTACAGAGGAATCTAAGCATTACGCACATCTGAGTCTGTTCCTCGGAGACTTACAGTCTCCAGAGTGGAGGGAGAACCTCCCCATTCTTCCCAGTTGATTCTGGGGTTTGTCAGGGGTGTGTTCTTGCTCTTGCTCTGCTTGTATGGACTGAGTGTTGGGCAGGGTTGTGGGGTCCAGCAGCTGTGGGGCGACTGTTGGTGAAGAAAGATTTACTGATCTTGACATTGCCGACGATGCTGTGATCTTAGAGGAGTCAATGCAGGCCCTGATTGGGGCTCTCGAGAGACTGAGCGAGGAGTCTGAGTGTCTGGGATTGTGGGTGTCCTGGTTAAAGACCAAGATCCAGGCATTTAATGACTTTTTGGGCACAGCCATCAGTAGTGTGTCTGTCTGCGGGGAGAATGAGGACCATGTCGAGAGATTTACCTACATCGGCAGTGACATTCATGCAGCAGACGGATTGGAAGAGCATGGGGGGGTCATGAGGTCACTGGAAAGGGGTGTGTGGCACTCCTGATATCTTTGCAAGAGGACGAAGGTCCAAGTCTTTAGAGTCCTGATGCTCCCTGTCTTGCTGTATGGCTGTGAGACATGGACGCTGTCCAGTGAGCTGATATGAAGACTGGACTCCTTTGCTACTGTGTCTCTTCGGAGAATCCTTGGGTACCGCTGGTTTACTTTGTGTCGAATGAGCGGTTGATAGAGGAGTCCCGAATGAGGCACATTACCTGCATTGTGAGGGAGCGTCAGTTACGGCACTATGGCCATGTGGCACATTTCTCTGAGGGTGATCTGGCTCACAGG